TTAATCTGCTCTTAAAAGTTGTTTTGTGTTAGAGCATTATTGTTACCTGTGGAAATTTTGGTCACATTAATGTTCTGAAGCTCCTATTATTTATATGTTCTAAGCTAGTTAAATAGTATTTTATATTGTATATTCCTTTTAGCAAGTATTTACTGAGTTCTTCTGCAAATAAAATATTGTGCTTGGTGTTAAGGAATAGTCAAGGAAATTAAGATGTGATCCCTTCCTTGAGAAGCCAAAATCACAAATAATACAAGGTGAAGAATTAGTCAACTAAAGGGTAGGAGTCAGTAGTAAGAGGACAGAAATGAATAATATTTGGAAATAATTAGCCCCAAAAAACAATATGGAGCTTTAGTGTTTTGGTGTGTGATACTTCTAAATACTAGATCAGTACTACTTTTTAAATTGAGATATAATTGACATATAACATTGTTATTTTCTGGTATATAACATGATTCAATATATGTATATATCGCAAGATGATCACCACAATAAGTCTAGTTAACATCTATCATCATAGTTACAATTTTTTTTGTGATGAAAACACTTAAAATCTCATTTCAGTCACTTTCAAATATGCAACACAGAATTATTAACTATAGTCACCATGCTGTACATTACATCCCCAGAACTTATTTATTTTATAACTGGAAATTTGTACCTGTTTATTGCCTTTATCCATTTCACCCACCCCCAAACTATGTGGATTTTGATACAAAGAAAGCATAGTTTTGATCCAACGTAACATCAAAATGAAAATTAAATCTGTATATTTAGTTGCAAAGAAATTTATTATCTCAAAAAAATAAAATTTATTCTACTGTAATTTTTTATCTCTTTTGAGTATGTAGGGTACTAGACTTTTCTCTATATAACAAGGTGGTCAAACTGCTGTAATACACAGAAGAGAACTGGGAGACAATTTTCCACAGGTCTCTCTCATTTCTGCCTGTCTTTTGAGCAGAGGCACTAACTGTCTTATATTCGACTACCTTTTTAAGGATGTATGTATAATGAACAGCCTTGGAAGACAGAGATAGTGTCCCCCTCTGAGCAGAGGCAGGTTTGTTCAGGGTCTAGTACAATAAAGGTAATGTCTTCCTCTGGAAAAAAAGGTCAAGCAGGTTTGCTAGAAGCTCATTATAATAAAAGGGTTTCCCTAGCTCGGGGTTCCTCAGCTATAGTATAAATCCACTGTGTACATATCTAACTGGACCACTCCATATCTTAGAGGATGGCGATACCTGAAACCAACACAAACATGAAGCTCATGCTGCATGATGAGCCATTAGCAATAAAGTCTTGTTTCTGACCCAAGAATCCTTTGTCTTCTGACAGCACACATGAAACTGTGGTAAGCTAAACTGCTAGTTTGCAAGTAAGGTAAAAATCTCAGGCCCTTCACAGTTTTTTTTTTTTTTAATTGAGGTATAATTGACATACATTATATTAGTTTCAGGTATACAACATAGTTGTTCAACATTTGTATATATTGCAAAATGATCACAATAAGTCTGATTAACATCCATCACCATACATAGTTCCACCGTCACAGTTTTTTTTTATTATGTTATGTTAATCACCATACATCATTAGTTTTGATGTAGTGTTCCATGATTCATTGTTTGCGTATAACACCCAGTGCTCCATTCAATACGTGCCCTCTTTAATACCCATCACCAGGCTAACCCATTCCCCCACTCCCCCCTCTCACTGATATGAGGAATTCTTAATCTCAGGAAACAAACTGAGGGTGCTGGAGTGGTGGGGGGTGGTGGGAGGGATGGGGTGGCTGGGTGATAGACATTGGGGAGGGTATGTGCTATGGTGAGCGCTGTGAATTGTGGAAGACTTTTGAATCACAGACCTGTACCTCTGAAACAAATAATACACCGTCACAGTCCTTGGCAATGAAAATCTGTTTCTCACCTCATCACTATCTATTTTAGGATCCATTTTAGTAGATTATGGCACTTAGTATCCTTTTTCACTATCTACTTGCAATCTGGGGACTATCAAAATTTGGACAATTTATAGGAAAAGGGTATTCATTCTGATCCTATAGTAAGATAAACAACTGTGTGATTTAAATTTCTAAAGAATAGAATGGAAATAGCAAAGTAGCAATATAACTAGATCATTTTCTTTTCCTTTCCTTCCATTTTCATTCCTGTAAGGTAAAAATGCATTATAGAATTGAATTTATACACTTAATTAAAGTATATTTAATTACAATTGAGCATATTTTAAGCTCATAAATAAGCATGCAGGAAGTTCATACTACACACAACTTATTAACATTTGAATATTTTTTAACACTAGCATATAAGATAATGATATAATTTGGTTTAAAAAAGTCAGAATAGGTTTTGCTTGCCAAGGAATTAGCAGAATAGCTTTAAAATTTAAAAATGCATTACTCACTACATATGTATTAGAATGGCTAAAATTTAAAAAAAATCTGATAATACCAAATGCTAGAGAACATGTGGAACATTCTCATCCATGGCTGCTGGGAATGCAAAATGTAAGAGCCACTTTAGAAAACAGTTTGGCAAATTCTTATGAAGTTAAACACATACTTACAAGATGACAGATCCATTCCACTCCTATTTAACCTAGGTAAATTAAAACTTAATACTCACACAAAAATCTATACAAGAATGTTTAAACAGCTTCATTCATAATCACCAAAAACTGGGAACCCAATTGTCTTTCAATGAGTGTATGGGTAAACAATGGTACCTACAAACAATGAAATACTAGTCAGCAATAAAAGGACATAACAACATGGACAAATTCTACAAAGTAGTATGCTGAATAAAAGAAACCAGTTTCAAAAGATTCCATGCTATATATTCCATTTGATGGACATTATGGAAAAAACAAAACTATAGGGATGAAATGCTTGATTTCCAGTGATTGCTGGGTTAAAGTTAGGGGTCAGGGAAGGATTTGACAACAAAGGGACAGTACTAAGGGAATGATGTGAAGGTGAAGGAACTATTTGGTATTTGGTGAAGAAACTGATCGTCATAGTGGTTCCATGAATCCATAAATGTGCTAAATTCATAAAATTTTACATCAAAAAAGAGTTAACTTTACTGTATGCAAATTTTAAAACAAACAAATGCACTACTTCCTAAGCATGAGTGTAAGCTGCCTTTTTCTTCTACTCCCACACACCTTAACCCTAGACTTAAAGAAGACTACTTTATGTGAGGAGAAAGGTGGAAGAGACTAAAAGAATGGCTTTGAGGTGGAAATTAAAGGAGTTTGCTACAACATTATGAACATTTATCTTAAAAGGCTGGATTATGAGATAATGATCTATAATTTTAGAGAAAGGCAAAGCAAAAAGGTACTGAAGAGAAGAGCAAATAGACCTTAAAATTAAAGAAAGAATTGTCTCCCTAGTATTCACTTCTATTCTATAGTGCCACAACATAATAATTATATCTTCATTTAATTTGCTTTTTTGTATGTTTCAGCTACACACAAAACAATTGAAGAAAAAGTAATTTAATTTTAAGAAGATATAAATTTATTTTTATTTCAGTATTCTAAACCTAAAATAAAAGGGATTAATCAGTTGGCTACAGTTTCTGCATCAAAAGATCTAAATCATGAAAAATTTCTTAAATGTCTGGTGGAATCTAATATTAGGATTAAACCTAAAGGGAAATTAATATATTTAAGGAAATGATATTCTACATATTTAATACTTTGCACTTATCTCTGCTTGCCTGTTTTTCTCCCACTGCATACTCCCCTTCTTTTATTGCTCCTTCCCTTTTCTTCCCAATCTGCCATGCCCTTTTCATCCTCAGTTCCTTTTAGAAATTTGCTGCAAACCTAAATTATCTAACTGCTCTTAGGAATGCCTACATAAATATAATTCATTTCAAAGCCTGTGAATTAAAAAAATGGCTAATGCCCAAATATTGTGGTGCTCTCTTTCTAAAACATGACAACAGGGAATATAAGTAGTCTAATAGGATGTTTAACATGTATCAAACTAAAATATGAACACTAATTTACATTGACATTTATAAAAGTATGTATGTCATTCAAATTATAACTTTTTCAATATATCTACTAAGAATTTAATAAAGTAAAAAAGATTGGATTTTATAAAATATGCATACAATAACAAAAAATAGAGCCCTAACCAGTCTGTGAATATATTTTTTTGGCCAAATTACTATGAATTCTACAGTTTATTGAATGTATACCCTGAGTTCCAGATACTTAATTGCCCAAGAAAAGAAAAACTTCCCCATCTTGGGCCTTTGTGCTGAGATTATGTAAGATGGAATTGTAGAAATACGGTTTGGAGAAGACAACAGCCCTGCTCTTTACAGGTAATGACCAACTGATTGTCTTCCTTTTTTTTTGTCCATTTATGAAACAAGAATGACCTTCGGGTAAATTCTGAAATGATGGTGTAAGCCACATGCCTACGGAAACAGTTCTATAAAATGCTCCCTGAGGCAAATCAATTAATATACCTTTCTGCTGCTTTGGTTACTCACCTAAAAAAGATGGCCAAAAATGAAAATTGGAAAAGAGGTTGGTGAGTAGAAAAGAAAATTTGGAAAACTGAAAGGGTAGGTGATGGCAACTCCCCCTTCCAAAAACATTCTCTGCATTACAAAATATCTATTTGTTTATTTTCACCCTTTAGAAGTATACTCAATGTCAAAAAAATACTTTAAAATTTCCAGTATCATTCTAACAAACTCCATAAGCATCCAGTGTTGGAATTTGGGGTACTAATTAAGTAATTATTAAGTCATAGGGTCTTATTGCTTCAGAAGAGAGTGTAAAAGAACTCACATAAGTTTCCAGACTGGAAAAAAAAAAAAAAGGCTTTTATTCCCACAAACTAAGGTATTTACAATAACATTTTAAACCATAACTTGTAAGTATAAATACACTTGACTTAATAACATGAATTTTCATAAATGAGAAAAAACTGTAATGTTATATTAACATTTTTCTAACATAAAAAACAGTCCTTTCAATGGTTTTCATACGTTAAGATAACAAATATTTTCTTATAGACAATATATAGATGATAATTCTGAGGTTAGTATAATGCAATTTTCCATTAAGACATAAAATTTAGTAAATATTTTCTTTTGCTCTTAGGAAAAATGAATTCTAGTTTCCCTATATTAAGATACATTATTTTATTAGTACATGATGTGACTTATTATTCTTCAGTCTTTCCTGAAACTTGTTCAGCTCTGGAAAAATCTGTTTCATACTTCTTTTTGAGATTACTTAAATACATTCGTAAACTGTCTGGATCCAATTTAGAGTTTCGAGCAGTTTGAACAAGCCTAGTAGCTAGATGGTACACAGCTCTCTGTCTTTCCATCTCAGGGGTACTCCTTTGGTTTTCCTGTTATTGAAAAAATATAGATAAAAATTAAAATATGATTACTATGACTTTGTTTTAAAATTTTGGCAATTTTCTCTTTCCTTTCATAGAAATACAGAACCCAAAGGTAACTAATTCCTTTGGATAAGTCAATTCCATTCAACTAGCACAGAATGTACCAGAAAAAACAAAGAAATATTGTTTTGAAAGAATAAAACTTTCCATGAGTATTTACTACTTTATGACAGATTCTTATATTCTTGAAAATCACTTTTCAATGAAAAAAAATCTGCTAAATAGGTAAATTTCTCATTCAACATAATTATCATTGCTATGCAGTATTCATTTTAAATGTCACCCAGAGTACTACTCTGCTATCTCCTACTTTAATTCCCCAATAGATAAACTGGTAGACAGAATGGGTCAACAGTAAATTGCTTGTCTCTCAAGAGATTTCATATATAGAAACTGCTAGAGTCTAAGACATACACTGCCTGAGGAGTAAATTACATTTTGAAAATAAGTGCCATAAATAGCTACTTGAAATTATGCCAATTCTTAACAATCTATAGTTAGGATGCCCAAGAAACAATGTTTAAAACAGGAATTTTCTAATATTTTAGAAGGCCTTTAAATATTCAGTCTTTGAATAGTACTTCAGGGATGGGAGTACAGCTGGAAAATTCTTCATCCACCTCGTTTCCTGAGCTAGATAGAAGAATTAGCATTTTTGATCTTAACTGTTAATGTAAAGTCAGTGAGTTTCCCTTTACTAAGGGAAATAAAATCCCTCCAACTCTTTCTCAATAGAAAGCGATTCAAGATATTTTTCTTCTTTCACTGTAAGAAAAATGAATCCAACTCCATGAGGTAAAATAAGATTATCATGTATTCACCCATCTATTTGATACATTGAATGATCAACCATCAGTTTATTATCTAAATAATAAACACTGAATATCTATTATCATCTATATTTAGGCCCCAAACCTTGTGTTTATGTCTATGGGGGATACAAAAATGTCTACCTGACATGACAATGGAACTCAAGAGGCTCAATGAAAGAGACATATTATTATAGTGAAAGAGACATATTCATAAGCAACTGATTTAGGTAATTATGATAAGTCTCACGAGAGAGATTCAAAATTCAGAGGAAGGAGAACTCATTTCCAGCTCAGGTCAAGAAAAGCATAAGTAGGATGGAATACTTGAAATGACTCTTGATGGATAGAAGAACACAGAAGTAAGGGCATTCTGGATGGAGGAAACAGCTAGAGCAGACACATTAGAAATCCTGGTACATAGGTCAAAATGATGAAATGACTAGTAATTCAATGTGGCAGAAATGTAGGTTTTAGTTAAATTGAGAAATGTTATCTAAGGTTGGGGTAATAAACAAAGGAAGACCATAAAGCAGCAGTTAACAAACTTCAGTGTGTTTAAGAATCATCAGAAGACTGGTTAAAAATGTAAATTCCTAAGCCATAGGAAATCTTCAAAAATCTAGGATGGTCCCTGATATCACAGGTGATTCTAACGTAGGTAATTCTAAGACTGTATTTTGAGAAATAATCATAGAAAATGTTCAACAGTAGGGTAAGGAGTTTCACTTTAATTTGGTAAGAAACAACCAAAAGTTTCTGAACAGGGAAACATGATAAAAGTTATGCTTAAGAGATAATCTGGTGAGCGCTGTGAATTGTGTAACACTGCTGAATCACAGACCTGTACCTCTGAAACAAATAATATATTATATGTTAAAAAAAAAAAAAAGAAGAAGAAGATAGTAGGGAGAAATGAAGGGGGGGAAATCGGAGGGGGAGATGAACCATGAGAGAGTATGGACTCTGAAAAACAAACTGAGGGTTCTAGAGGGGAGGGGGGTGGGGGATGGGTTAGCCTGGTGATGGGTATTAAAGAGGGAATGTATTGAATGGAGCACTGGGTGTTATATGCAAACAGTGAATCATGGAACACTACATCAAAAACTAATGATGTAATGTATGGTGATTAACATAACATAATAAAAAAAAAGTAAACAATGCCAAAAAAAAAAAGACAATCTGGTAGATGTAGGTAGGATGGATTGAAAAAGAGAGCGAATCTACTGCATAGTCCTAATGACAGGTGATTAAGAAGGATTCAAAGATTATTCTAATGGGTCACTGGGAAATTTGGAAGCAAAGAAATGAAAAGATTTTTCATATGATTAATTTTGGTCCTATTAAAGAGTGAAAACATAAGTTGAGATTTCAAGAAGAAATATGGAGAAAAATATACAGATTCAAGGTCAAAAAGAAGTGAAAATGGAAGCTAAGGAAAGGATGAACTCACCAAGAATATAGTTTTAAACACAGAAGGAAGGGCAAAATCTTAGGAAAACTTTCATTTAATAAGCGGAATGATAAAAAGCACTGGTCAAATACACAAAAATAAATTCAAAATGGATGAAAGACCTAAACGTGAAACAGGAAACAATCAAAATCCTAGAGAAGAACACAGGCAGCAGTCTCTTTGACCTCGGCTGCAGCAACTTCTTGCTAGACACGTCTTCAAAGGCAAGGCAAACAAAGGCAAAAATGAGCTATTGGGACTTCATTAAGATAAAAAGCTTCTGCACAGCCAAGGAAACAATCAACAAAACTAAAAGGCAGCCTACAGAATGGGAGAAGATATTTGCCAATGACATATCTGATAATGCGTTAATATCCAAAATCTATAAGGAACTTACTAAACTCAACACCTAAAAAAACAAATAATCCAGTTAAGAATTGGGCAGAAGATATGAATAGACATTTCTCCAAAGAAGACATCCAGATGGCTAACAGACACATGAAAAGATGCTCAACATCACTCATCATCAGGGAAATACAAATCAAAACCACAATGAGATACCACCTCACACCAGTCAGAATGGCTAAAATTAACAACACAGGAAACAACAGATGTTGGCAAGGATGCAGAGAAAAGGGAATCCTCTTGCACTGTTGGTGGAAATGCAAACTGGTGCAGCCACTCTAGAAACAGTATGGAGGTTCCTCAAAAAGTTAAAAATAGAAGTACCCTATGACCCAGCAATTACACTACTAGGTATTTACCCAAAGGATACAAAAACACAGATTCGAAGGGCTACATGCATTATCAACAATAGCCAACTATGGAAAGAGCCCATATGTCCATCAACAGATGAATGGATAAAGAAGAATTGGTATATATATATACAATGGAATATTACTCAGCCAAGAATGAAATCTTGCCATTTGCAAGATGGATGGATGGATTAAATCAGTCAGAGAAAGACAAATACCGTATGATTTCACTCATGTGGAATTAAAGAAACAAAACAAATGAATATATGGGAGGGAGGGGAAAAAAAGAGAAGGAAACAAACCGTAAGAGACTAGTCACAGTAGAGCACAAACTGACAGCTGACTGAGGGAGCTGGGGGCGGTGGGCTAGATGGGTGATGGGTATTAGGAGGGTGCTTGTTATAATGAGCACTGGGTATTGTATCTAAGTGATGAATCACTGAATTCTACTCCTGAAACCAATATTAAACTGTATAATTAACTAGAATTTAAATACAAATTTGAAAAGAAAAAAAAAGCACTGGTGAAGAAAGAAAAAAAGGGGTAATCAGAGGTAGGAAAATGAAGACATCCAGGAGAGGACAATTTCATAGTAGCCAAGACAGGGAAGAATTATGAAATGGGAAAGAAGGGTAGTATCAAATACCACGGAGAGACCAGGGAAGATGAGAAGTGAAAAAGAGGTCATAAGAGTTTATCATTAGTTGGTATTTTACAAAGAAAGTTTCAGTGGCATGATGACAAGATCTAGTTTGCAAGTGGAAAATGGAAGAAGTAGTTACTACTCTTAAGAAGTTTGCAGTAAAAAAAAAAAGAGAGAGAGAGAGAGAAATATCTTTTGAGAGGTAAGGTAATAAAGAAGGATTTCTTAGGAAAAACCTAAGCATATTCATAGGAAAAAGAAAAGCCAGTGAATAAACACTAAGGATGCAAAGAGAAGAATGGGAACAAGGGGTGCCTGGCTGGCTCAGTTGGTAGAGCATATGACTCTTGATCTCAGGGTTGTAAGCTCAAGCCCCACATTCAGTATAGAAATTACTTTTAAAAAAATCTGAAAAAAAAATGGAGCACCTGACTGGCTCAGTCAGTAGAACATGTGACTCTTGCTCTCAGGGTTGTGAGTTCGAGCACCATGTTGGGTGTAGAGATTATTTAAAAAATAAAATCTTTAAAAAAAAGAGAGAGAGAGGAAAGGAAACTTATGAAGTTATATCTTATTGGAGACGGAAAGAAGGTAGAAAAGTTAACCTCAAATAAGTTGAAAGGTAATCTCTTCCTCTGAGATAGAAAGGAAGAGAACTGGGTGAAAAACAGAAATCCCAAAACAGAGTTTTTAAGGAGAAAAAGTTCAAGGATTCATCACGATAACCTCAAGTCTCTCAAAAAATATAGGAAGTGAATTTTCTGTAAAGTGAGGACATTGAGGGTTTAGGAAGAGTAGAAATGTTTTGAAAGAGTTAAAGAAACTATACAGATCAATAAAAGGGGAAAAAACTATCCAGTAAAATATTTGACTAAAGGTAGAATATATGAATTGACAGTAGATAAGATTAGCTTGTCTTGAATATATTTTGAGAATCATTATTAGGAAAGCCAAAGCCTAGAAGGCAACTGGAGAAGGCTTGCCATAATTGGAATTTGGCAAGATGAAGTCTGAAGAACTAGGTAATGAGAGAATCTTCAGAAGCACGACACAGACAAAATTGTTGAAGAGATTCAAATGGAGGATTAGGCAAGTAAAGTCATATAGTCTAGAAGCTCATGAGACTGAAGGGATACAATAAAAATTAAAAGCAGGTTAAGAAAGAGGGAAAGACAAAGGAAACCATTACTACTGAAGAAAATTTCATAATGCACCTAGATTAGTTTACTGAACACACTGCATTCTTAAAACATAAAGCAACCTGATATTAAAAAAAGATTTCCAAATTTTGAATCAACATGAGTTCAGAGATAAATCTACTGCTTCCTAGCAAAACACTTGTGAACCTCAGCTGTAAAAACAGGAGTAAAAATAACAGCTTTATTATTAATCTTATATTAGAAAGACCTAACTACTTCATGAAGAGTCATGAGGCTTATATATGATAATGGATAAGAGTTTTAAAAACTATTTTAAAAGATATTAAAGTGTGGTGCATAGTAATTTTTGTATTTTTATTTATTTTTTAGAGAGAACAAACATGAGTGGGGTTGAGGGGAGAGGAAGAGAGAGAATCTTAAGCAGGCTCTATACCCAGCACAGAGCCCAACTCGGGGCTTGATCTCACGACCCTGAAATCACAACCTAAACCAAAATCAAGAGTCAGACACTTAACTGACTGAGCCACCCAGGCAATATGTGATTTTTATTTGTAATGCTTACTTTATATAGACTTATTTTCTCATCATAAAGTTAGTGTAGCATAAGTATTATAGGAACGGAACTGTTTAACCTTTGTCTACTATCTTATTAGTTGATTTGTTGGGAAAGGCTGAAATAGACCAAACCAAAAAATAGTGAAAAGTAAAAAAAGATTTGCCTTATTTAGAATTAGGTTTTTATTTAAATGTTTTAATTATTAATATTATTATATACTTAGATATAACACCATTATAAAAATGTACATTAAAAGTATTTTCTTGAATTGGAAAACCAATTCTTATTGCTAAGAAGTTTCTTACCAAAATTTGTCTGGTAATTTGAGTTGTGATTTCTTTGGCATCCAAGACAATTGATGGTGGGAGTGATGACACTTCTGCAGCTTTTAATCCTAAAATTAATACAATGGGGCTTCAATGTTGTTATAGCAGGTATTATGTTTATTTTAAGCAGTAATAATCCTTTCTTCACAGATTTAGACTTCTATTCTACAGGCATTTCTGAACAACTTAGCAATTCTCAAAATTAAGTTTTCCAAAGTTCTGGATAACAATTTACCAATTATAAGATTTAATTAGTTGTCCAAGACATATGACAAATTAGAATATCAATTAGCTCTCAAGATACATCTGAGACAGTCAGGAAAACATGATAGGGAAAAGGGGTAACTAGAAAACTTAATAATAACATTGAAATTCCAACTACAAATGCAGTTGGTTAATAGAAGGTCAAAGAATATGAGCTTTGCAAGGGAGGAGAGATAACCCTAGTCACAGAGATAACCGTACAGCTGAATGTTCATCTGTCTAGTAGATCACCAAGAGAGAGATTTCTCACAAGATATAACTATAGATAACTATTCTTCATGCAAATTCAAAGTACTATCTAGTATTCTCCCCTGAGCCTAATTTTATTGTATAAATGCCACATGGGCTTTCCACTGTGTGCTAATAGTTTATTGTATGTACTATTTTAGAGGCAACAGAAACAACACTAACACATTTACTGAGAAGCTACTAATTGCTAGATACTATATTAAACAGTTCATACTTGATAATTCATTTAATCTTCATAATCCCTACATATATGGAAAATTATCCCCATTTACTAGATGAAATTAAAGCTTATAAAAATTAAATATCTGATACAAATTAAGTTATGCAGTTGATTTCTCATTTCAAATAGCAAAACAAAGATGCTTTCCCCCCCTCAAAGGGTCAGATTCATAGCTAAAATAATTTTAGGAACTTATATGTATAGATCAATTAAAAATTTCTGAATTCACGAGATTTTATAATGTCACATAATGATTTAGATAGAAAATATCTAATCAAGTTTACAAGTATCATATGGTTTGATAATACATTCCCTTTTAAGACTTTAGATTATGAAGTTCCCTGCATCTGAAGAAAATAGATGTTACTGAAAAAGTATGTAAGAAATATACAATTTTCAATTCATTTATAACTTGCAAGTATAAGCTAAATTACATTTTTCTAAGAATAGAAACTAATACTTCTGGCACTTTCATGTGTTGTAATTCTACATAAGTACTGATTGATGTAAGTTTAAATATAAGCTTAATATACATAAAATGTGAGATTGACATAGAAAATACAGTCTTAGAGCCTAAGTACTCAAAAGAATTCTTTGACAGGAAAAGCTGTTTAGATTGACAGCCAAGTAAAGGGGAGAAGAATTATGAGAATATGTAATGTTTCAATAGATATTATATAGATATAATTTCCATATGCAATACCATAATTTTTTTCTTCTGTGAGTCCCTTACAAATTTTGTAGGTATACAAGATTGCTTCTTTATTTCTTGAAGTATTCTTTACATGCTGAACTTCAAAATGCATGTTTTCTACATTAGGATACAGGATCTCTATATGACATAGTTCCAGGAAATGTGTAGCAAACAGTGTAAATGCCTAGAATATATAATAATGAATGTCAGTATTTTTAAAATGAACTAGAAAAAAATTTTAGTTTGATTTTCCAAGTAGCTTGGCAGAGGTGTAGGAATGAAACTAATAATGGTCAATTCATTTCAAAATGTTTTGCAAATTTATATTCAATGAAAGAAACATGTTTATTATGTTTACACATCACACGTATGTTACATTATAGGAAAGAGAACAAATTTAAAAATAAAATCTTAAAAAAAATCTGAAGATATTCAAAAGATGAGGTTTACCATAAATAAAGCTGTTAAATGAGGTAATCATTTATTAGAAAAGTAATCTACAAACAAAATCATAATAATTCCCTCAACTTTTAAAAAAATTTTACTTTAAAAGCAGCTTCCCTCCATATAACTATTTTTTGGGAAGTGGAATCAATGGTTTGTCTTAGGTATTCAAAATCACAAAGGATTTTAGTTTTTAGATTTGCCTTGTGTTTGGGTTAGGTACTTAAAGGGAAGAAAGAAAAGATGGAGAATAATGCTTAGGACAATGATTCTCAAACTTTAGTAATCCCCTGGGGAGCTTGTTAAAGACGCAAATTCTTGGTACTTAGACCCCCAAAATTCTCAATCCGTAGTTGTAACGTGGAGTGCCAGGAAACTCCATTTTCTAGAAGTATTTTAGGTTATATTGATGCAGATGGTTCAAGTGACTTATGACCAGCACGTGGTTTCCAGTTGTGAGTTACTAAGCTAGAGATTTGAATAATTGGTTATGTTCTTAAGATATTACCAGGAAAAACTATAAATATGTGATTAATGGAAAAATAAAATGTTAAGACATTAAAAAGAAAATATTTGGGCTGGCAAATGGAATCAACCATGTAAGGGGGATGGGAAGAGGTACAGAACAGAAAAATGAAAAAAACCCAACTACTTACTCAATAAATCAAAAGGGGTATAAAACCAAATTTATAAAGCAACAGAAAAATATTTGGAAGTCCAGTAAACTATTTAGAAGCTAAGGACCATGTTCATAATAACATTAATGTCCTCAAAATTTATGTATCAAACCAACCTATTACTCTTCACTACTAGAAATAGAGTTGTTAGTATCTTTAAATCTAATCATATTAGAGGTGAGGTGGGGGCACCATGGTGCAGGGACTTGAATGCTGAGAGGATGCCAGTGGCTGTGGGGCCATACAGACAGTCCCAGCCAAGCTGCTTCAACCATGTGAACATGGGCTTCATGATGGGCTATGCAGTGGGCATGGCAGCTGGGATGCTCTTGGGTACTTTTTCCTGTCTCAGGATTGGACTGTGGGGTTGGGAGCTGATGGGTCGCATCAGGAAAACCATGATGCAGAGTGGTGGCATCTTTAACATATTCGTGGCCATCAGGATGTGCATCCAATACTAATAAGGGCCATGGTTCCCCACTACATCTACCCTTCCCATCAGTCCCAGCTCATTTACTATAATAAAACAAGTCTTTGAGTTAAATAATAAAAATAAAATAAAATAAATCTAATCAGATTAAAGAGTCAATTCCAGAAACCCCAGAACCGATTCAGAAAACTCATCCTTAAAATTCTGTTTTTCTAGAACCACTCTCAATACCAAACTCTGTAATAGTCAGGCTTCTCCAGGGAAATAGAATCGGGTGTGTGTATGTGTGTGTAGAGAAAGAGAGAGAGAGAGAGCTTGATTTATTATTAGGAATTGGCTCATATGATTATGGAGATTGAAGAATCCCCAGGTCTGCAATCAGCAAGCTGGAGACCCAGGAGAGCTGATGCTGTAGTTCCAGTCTGAGTCTAAAGGCCTGGGAACCAGGAGAGCAAATGGTGTCATTCCAGTCCAAATGCTGGCAGGCTCAAGATCCAAAAAGAGGGGATGTTTCAATTCTAGTCCAAAGGCAGGAAAAATGATTCTAGGTTGAAAGCAGTCAGACAGGAAGTAACCCTCTCACTCCCAGTGGGGGCAGCCTTTTTGTTCTATTCAGGTATTCAACTGGGTCCCACTCAAAACTGATTGGATGGGAGGAGCTGGAAGTCATGGAAGTAGAGCTGATGGGAGCCAGGGTGCCTATGCACATGTGAGCATGCTCCTGGTGTGCTCAGGCCCACTACAGTAAGAGCTGGAGGAGGCGCAGCATTGGCCACACTCTTCTGGCAGCCCTGGCGGTGTGCTGGAAGGCATGCCCTGATGTGGGCTCTAGGACACCATTCCTGAGCCTCCACTGTGACTGCGTCACTGCAGAAGCAGGTCAGCCTTACCAGACCCTAGTGAGCAACTAGAGAAGATGGGCACCTGACCCTGACCCCAAAGACTCACCCCTTGCCCTCCCTCTCCTTGGGGCTGTATTTACCCCCAGATTGTTCCAGGGGCCAGTTCCCTTACCTCCCAGGTCCCAGGCTGAAATTCCCAAATACATAGTATGCTAACAGAGGATCCTATTACCACTTGTCTTTCTCCCTGAGTCCTATGATATGATCTGTAAACTCAGGTTTGAAGTCAGAGAAAACTGTGATATCAATGGCACTATAACTCAGAGGGGTGAAGTATGCTGGAAGACAATCACAGACTGTGTGACTTATACAGAATCAGCCCGGAATCTGGATTACGGGGGGAAGCATGAGGCTGCTGCGCCCTGTGTGTGAGGCTGTCCACTCACATTTGTTATCTCTGACCAAGGGGCAGTTTGAAATTCAATATACACCATCACTGCAGTGGACAGCTTTTGCAGAGTTATTTCCTGAAATATTTGATGTTTTGGAAAGTCTTCAATCTCCTGCTATTTCTTTTAGCTTAATGAAACTGACAGCGTGTCTAGAACAGGCTTCGGGCAATATATTTTTACTGAATGGGAAGGAATGCCCCTTTTATTTTTTTTTTTTTAAGAGAGAGAGGGCATGCAACAGGGTGTGCGGGGGAGGAGAGTAGGGGCAGAGGGAGAGGGAAAGAATCCCAAGCACATGCAGGGCTCTATCCCAGGACCTTAAGATCATGACCTGAGCCAAAATCAAGTCAGATGCTCAATGACCCAGGTACCCCAGGAAAGCCCCTTTCTTTTGAGGTCTGCTTGCATCTAAGGAGCTTACTAGTACGTGGTAGACATACTAAAAGTCTTCACTGGATTTCCATGTGGACTCAATCTACATAATATCTTTTGGCATGGGTTTGTGTCCCCTCAAGAAATCCCTCCAACCAAGTGTTCAATGATGATACTGTTGACAGCAGGATTGGGTCAGCTGCTGAAGAGTTATTTGCAACTAACTAAATTTGCATTGGCACGCCGACCTTTCAGAGCTCTTACAAACCTTGAGGATTTGGCTCTTTTCCCTGCTATTACTTCTGAGGTACTTTCAGTATTAGAAGAAGTAATGAAGAAATACAGCGTTATATTAAAAGTCATGTTCCTATACTGAGAAGTTGCATTAATCAAGTTCAAGTCACACAGATTTGCCAGCTGTGCCATGTTGTTATTGACACAGCTAGAGACAGGACTTAGGAGAGTTTTGCCATTAACAAATGTCCACAAAGACTTTTGACTGTTGAGTCAACAGCTCTTTATACCACATGTGAAGAAATATTAGCAAAACACTTGAATGATGGTAAAAATCAATCAAATTCCTCTTTTCCTTGGAGAGTCTGCAATAGAATTTCTTTGGGATTTCCTGAACCATCAGGAGAGTTCCCATATAAGAGATCATTTAGGCCATGGGGAAATCAGCTTATCTAAATTTCCAAAAGAAGCAACAAATCAATAACTTGCATTTTCCATTGTACTTTTACTCAGATTCATTGACGAAGATCTGTTATCAATGGTTAAGGAAAAAGCAGTAATAAAATCATTGGTTGGTCTTGCAGAAGGCTACAGTGTTCCCTTCCATCCAGTTTCTCAACTTAAAAAAAACTTGCTGAGCTGTGAGAAGAGCATCATAAGGGTTTGGTCCCTCCTGCCTTTGACTAAAGAAGCTGAGGAAGCAGCCAAATTAGAAGTAATTCTGAAACAAATGCTTGCAGCTCTTTACAAAAATCATGTATGATGGGGCAGCTGGGTGGCTTAGTCATTAAGTGTCTGCCTTCAGCTTGGGTCATGGTCCCAGGATCCTGGGATCGAGCCCCGTGTTGGGCTCCCTGCTCAGCGGGAGGCCTGCTTCTCCCTCTCCTGCTCCCCCTGCTTGTGTTCCCTCTCTCACTGTCTCTCTCTGTCAAATAAATAAATAACATCTTTTAAAAAAAAATCATGTTTGAGCTGCATTACCACCTGCCTGAGAATCATTGTGTTGTTAGTGACTTGGGACAATCTTCCTGCTGAGAAGTGGCCCCAGGTAATCTGTGAACTCTGTGGCACCCCCATCCTAACTCTGTTCTGTCCCAGAACCATTCTGGAAGTGCTCATCTGCTTCGAAACATCAGCACACATTGCACCCACATGTCCAGCCAGGTTGTTGCCTCCACGGAGTTGAGACACTAGCAGTGGGTAGACAGAATGTTGTGTTCCAGGCAAAGGAAGTAGTATTAAGTTTCTGTCTCCTGTGCTTTACCCAATTTTATCACTGATTGTACTGGAATTGGTCAACATTCATGTGGTTCATGGAAAAAAGTCTTATGAGTATCTAAAGTTCTTAAAGTTGTTCTTGCAGTACGCAGAGAACCTGGTGGCTTACACCAGCCAAGAGAAGAACAAATGGAACAAAACTATCAATCTTACATGGACAGCCACGTTGAAAATTTGACTTTTAGGAAGAAGAAACAAAAGTTAATACATTTAGCCAAGAAATCCACAAGTAAAGGAGTCTTATGAATAAGTCAAGATGCTTTTGGCTACATCCAAAAACCTAGCCTGAATAGGCTTTACCAACATGGAAATTGAAAATCCAAAGGTAGGGTGGATTCCAAGGTCTGTGTGACAAAGGATCAAGTTCCATTTCTCTGTAGCCTTCTCATTTGCTGTTCCTGAGTTTGTGTGAACCTCAGGCTGGGTCCTCAAGTGGCCATAGCAGTTTGGTCCCTCCACCATGACACAGTGTCCAGAGGAAGGGGAACTTTTCACCTAGATGTCACCCAGAAAGTTCTTGAAAACTGTCACTGTGGCCAGGACCCTCCTCCTGTACTCACTGGCCAGCCTGGGTAGGCATACACTCCTGAGCCACCACTGGGGCATGGAGAGAGCTTGGATCAGTCTGGCCTCATCCCTGAAACTGAGAATAAGATTGGATGATCCAGATCCCATGGGACAGAGTTGAAGAGGAACAGCTCCTAGAAGGTATGGTGGGCAGACATAGTGCCAGGCAGCAGGTTTGCTGGTCAGTGTGTAGCCAGGAAAGCAGGAGCCCTGGCACGTGTCTGGGTATGGAGGGTTTTGTATGGGAGCAGGGAGAGCTAGAGGAGTGAGGGTCAGGGGCGCAGCTGCCCCAGTCCAGCTCAGAGAGCCAAAGTCTGTGATTCTCAAGAGCTCACTGGACCACTGCAATTGTCTAGAACATCTGGGAAGGCCCTGACATCTGTCTCAGGTGGCAGCAACAAAGCCAGCAGCTCTCAGGAATCCCTCTGAGGCTGTCCTGGACCCCAGGTCTGTGTATGTGCTTGGCTGCACACAGTGAATTATGGCCCCTTCTCCACCTTCCAAACCTCCCTGGCAGGTTCTAGCCCACAGCCCTCCAAGGAAGGACATTCACCATGTGTGTTTCTGGCTTCTCTGCTGTCAGAGAACAGTGCCAAGGAGACCTCAAAGGGAAGGGGTAGTGCTGTGGGATGACAGACATTCTAGCACATTCCAAACATCCCTTTGCCAACTCAACACTCACCACCCCCTATTAAACTAAACTCTTGGGTAAAAACAGAGCACCAAGCTTCTGCCCCTGTGATGTAGCCTTCTCTCATGCAAGCATAGACCCCCATTCTCACATGTCGTGTTTCTGCTCCTGGGACATGTTCTTCTGCAGTGTCTCCCTTGGACTCTAATTTATATGATGATTTATAGGATTAACTACTCTTAACTCTTCTTATGTTGGAGCTGGAATGCAACAGAGGAAATAAAAGAACTGATATTTACCAAGCCCATGAAAACAAACAAACAAACAAACAAACAAACAAAAAAACTGATTGACTGATTGGATGGGACCCACCCCCACTAGGGAGGGCAATCTGCTTTACTTAGTCTACCAGTTCAAATACGAATCTCATTCAGAAACTCTCATAGATGCACCCAAAATACTGCTTGACCTAATGTCCAGTACTCTGTAGTCCAGTCAGGCTGACATATAAAATTAACCATCACAGATACTAATTAGCTTTTAATCCTAACAAGTAATATACATATCTTATTTTTATGAGAAATTCTGATCAACTGACATAGGTTCAGTATTACAAAGACTAATGTTATCTCTTAACATTATTTTTGATTTATCACATACCTATCACAAAAATAAGATTTTTCTTTCTTTATAGTAAATTATGGACAGTCATTTAAGGTAAAGAACATCATCTTAGGGACATTTCAAGGTACTTTAAATATGGAAAAATATTTTTAAGTTTTTTCATACCTGTATAATATTCTGAGTGATCATCTAAAGAGATATTTTACAAATTAGCTTAATAATAGAGCAAAAATCATAGTCTGTTTTACTTGATTTGTGAAAACCTGTTTTCTTTAAAGGATGAAATCTTAGTTGGGTAAGTAAAATAATTTTCCATAAAGTGACCTCGGATGCCTAGTTTTTCACTTCATGCTGTGACATCACAGTCCATGTTATTATCAGTGGAGACAATTATTGAAATGCTTTCATGTTTTGCCTTTTAATTTGATTAAATTAAAGCCAAGTGACTAGTTTTGATATTATTTGTATTTCTTGATTTCCTTCTTTCCTTGTCTACATCATGACTATCATACTAGCTGTTCCTGTTTCCATCAGAAATGAACTAAGAAAAATATAAACGCTATAGTACACTTTTATTACCTAAAATTGTTTAAAGAGCTATTTGTAGGTACCTGTAAAATCCAATCATGATAAATATACAAAGGATACCTAAGGGGCGCCTGGGTGGCTCAGTTAGTTGAGCATTGGACTTTTGGTTTCCACTCGGGTCATGATCTCACAGCTGTGAGATCAAGCCCCATATATCAGTTCTGTGCTCAGCGGGGAGTCTGCAGGAGATTTCTCTCTCCCTCTCCCTTTCCCTCTGCCCCTCCTCCGCTCACGAGTGTGTGAGCTCTCTCTCGCCCTCTCTCTCTCAAATAAATCTTTAAGAAAAAAAAGGACTCAAAATTAATACACTTAAAAGAAGAGAAAAGAATACCTTTAAGTTCAGCAGATATTCACAAACAGCATAACAAATGCCAATACCTTCTTCTGTATTAGTACCTCTGCCAAGTTCATCAATTAATATGAGTGATTTGTTATTAGCATTATGTAGAATATAAGCTATCTGAAAAATATAATTTTAATATTATTTATTGTAACCAAACAGCTGTCATTACCATTTTAAAAAATGAGGAAAAATCCAGTCTCTTTATTAGTTCATCCAAAACGTATTTTTATAAAGATATCCAGCTGAGTAGAAACACATTGCTTTTCTTCTAAAAATTTTCATGACTAATAATTTCAGTAGAACAGCTGTTATGTATATAAACAGACACATGAATATGTGTGTGAGACAACAAAGAGAAAATAACCATTATCTAAAATAGTAATGTTTTAGATACAGTGAAATAAAACTAAGCAATGAATTAAATGTTTAAATAATGCACAAAGATGGTCATTTTCTTCTCCACAAATGACTAATCAATTGTCATAAAATACTCAAAACTATTTCTCAAGTTTATTTTAACATAGATAGCCAGTAAAGATAGAAAAGATAGCCAGTAAAGATAGAAAAAAAAATGAGGGAAAAGTATCCAAGTCCATTGATTCCTATTTAAACAAATAAATGTAAATCCATGCACAACAAAGACCAAGACTTTGACAGAAATCCTCCTTCCCCACTGAAGAGTATTAGCCTCTTTCCCAAAAATTATAATTACACCCACATTATGTACTGACACAATAGTAAATGTTATGGCCTTTTACCTTTCCATAGGACTAAGCTTCTTGAGAGCTGGGACCATTTAAAAATACACCTCGAGCACCTAGTACATTGCTATATTCTCCCACAGATACTCAATACATACTAAATAATTATGTAAAAGTCATATACAGTAGCACAGATAACTATTCTCCCCCTATTTATGAAAATTATCCAACTCTACAGTGATCCATTAATTCCTACCTCCTGAAGATAGCTCAAGAGCTATACTGAATACCTTTAGCCCTTCAAGTCTATTTGATATTTGCTCAGATCAGAAAAAGATGATGACACATACTTTGTTACAGAAAGTGAAAATTCTAAAGGGGCACACAAGAGGATGATTTTTAAAAGCATTCTAACACAGTGATCTATTATTTTAAAATCAAACCTAATAAGAGCAATAGATACAATGCAAAATGGTCCTGAACAGGTCATTGTTTTCTGACAGTCTTTTATATATCCCATACAAAAACATGAAAGCATGTTTTTTGTTCAATAATACTAGCTTTTTCTTTAAAACTGTTTTTTTCAATAAAACCTTCTCTTCCATTTCCATGTAAGACAGAATTAGAAGCTGTCTTTGACTGCCCTCTGGCTCTTGTAGAGGAATATAAGCACATCCGCATGTTTTAGAATAAGGATATTTTCATACATAGTAATTGACCATTAGTGGAAGAATTTAACATATGTTTAACACAAGGAAACGTTAGTTTGGGTACCTCTTTCATTTCCTTCATGAATGTTGATGAATTTGTTTCAATATCATCGTCAGTACTGATTCTTGTAAATATCTGTTCAGCAATTCTAAAGGAAGAATATTCTGCTGGAACATATGATCCTGTAAAATACAAAGTAAACGTAAATTGAGGTGCCACCCCCCCACCCCTCCTCAAGCGGCTGCCCGGCGTGCAGCTCCCCAGCCCCCTCCTCCTCGGATGTGGCTGGAGCTTGAGGCGCGCAAGGCCGGAGACGCCGCAGACCCGGGACTCGGAGCAGCTCGGAGGCGGTGTATAATAGCTCTTCAAGTCTGCAATAAAAAATGGCCTCCAATAAAACTACATTGCAAAAAATGGGAAAGAAACAAAATGGAAAGAGTAAAAAAGTAGAAGAGGCAGAGCCTGAAGAATTTGTGGTGGAAAAAGTACTGGACCGACGTGTAGTGAATGGGAAGGTGGAGTATTTCCTGAAGTGGAAGGGATCTACAGATGCTGACAATACTTGGGAACCTGAAGAAAATTTAGATTGTTCAGAGTTAATTGAAGCATTTCTTAATTCTCAAAAAGCTGGTAAAGAAAAAGATGGTACAAAAAGAAAATCTTTATCTGACAGTGAATCTGATGATAGCAAATCAAAGAAGAAAAGAGATGCTGCTGATAAACCAAGAGGCTTTGCCAGAGGTCTTGATCCTGAACGAATAATTGGTGCCATGGACAGCAGTGGAGAATTAATGTTTCTCATGAAGTGGAAAGATTCAGATGAGGCAGACTTGGTGCTGGCAAAAGAGGCAAATATGAAGTGTCCTCAGATTGTAATTGCTTTTTATGAAGAGAGACTAACTTGGCATTCTTGTCCAGAAGATGAAGCTCAATAATTGTTTGCATTGCTTTTTATATATATTTATATATATATATATATAAAATCCAGGTCTTTGTTTTTTGATTTATTAGTGTGAAGAAATAACATTCTAATGAAAATCAAGTTCGATATGTTTGTTTTGAAGTAGTATTGGGGGAGTTGTTGGGGTTTTTTTGCATCTATAGCACTGGTTACTTTGAACAAATAAAAGCTTTCTGTAGTTGCTTCCTTTATCAGAAAAAAAAATATTTGAGACCATGGTATATTATCCCCCTGCATTAGAGAACACCTTTTCTAAATGTTGGGGGAAATCTTCATAGTCGTTACTCAGTCAGAATTTGTGTTTAACTCCTATATGCCTAAGGACCATTCTGGATTTTTTGTTTATTTAGGGGGTTTTTGTGTGTATACTTAAAATACATGCATAAATGGTTTTTGTTTTTTAACATTCACCAAAACAAAAACAGCATTTATAACCATGGATAAGCCCATGTTTCCGGGATGCTATCATTTTCAGCAACTTAAGAAATAAATCACTTAAAGTTAAACTGAAGTTTTTCCTGAAGCCTTAACCTTTCAGATTTTTAAATTGGACAATTTAAAAGCAGCTATATCGGAATCCGTATTCATATCTACAGTCATAAATGCAAGTTCATTTGCAAGATCCCTGAAAGGAAAATTTTATCACCACCAACAACCTCCCCACCCAAATGACAAAACTAGACAAGTCCTGGTGTGTTTTAATTAGGTAAGCAAAACTTAGTTAAATGGACATTTAAAGGTTCCTTCTAGTGAACCATTCCTTTTCAAGAAGTTGAAATCTCTGTGCTGTATTGACTAAAAGGTCATGATTCATGGAATGTCTAAGACTTTGTTCATGGAAACCTAATCATAATCAGATGGTTAGAGATGTTGGCAATTTATCACCTGTTGGAATAAATGGATGGACAGACTTTTATAATCCAAATTCTTAACCTGCATGTATTTTCTTTACCCCAACTTGTTCCTGACATGTAGGCTCAGTCTTCTCAGTTTTTGAGTTACTGGTTCAGCAGAAACCAGGAAAAACAGTAACTTTGTAGTCAGAATGTTATCCAACTGTATTGTTTACTTTATTGTAAATACTGGTAAACAGTGGTCAATAAATAGTTTTATATTCAAAAAAAAAGTAAATTGAAATGCTTTTATAAAATATAAGTACTAATATTTTGCACTTTTCACCAACTCAGATTATTTATTAACCTAGCTAAGGATTATGTAGTGGAAAGATCACTGGATATACAGTTAGACAACATGGCCCCAGCTCTGTCACTTACCATATATCCTTGGGCAGCAATTAGACTCTCCCAGTCTCATCTTTCTCACGTATAAACGTAAGACAGCATAAATTCAAGTACATTAGAAAGATTATAAACTTCACAAAAATGTTAAATAATACAGTTATATAAAAAAATTCAAAATAGGAAAATTTGGAGGAAATGCTTATGAAGCTCAAGTTGATAAAATTGTTACAGAAAGAAGTATTAGGAAATATCTGTTATTAGAAATGTATAGAAATACCCAGAATTAGAATGAAAGCAAGACATTTAATTTTTTTTAAAGGTGAGTTTTCATCCCTGAGACTTTTTCTGCCTGAGAAGTTATCATGCTTAATAATCTAAAATATTCACCTTTTGAAAGCAAATCAATCTGATTAATGCAACTACCTCTATATGGAATGGGACATAAAAGGCATTCTAAAATCATAAGAGGATAAAAATATACGAATAGTTGAATGGGAAAAGTATCAAGCATATAGAACAAAATGGTGAAATAAAGGGAGTGAAGAAACAAACTCCTGATTATTCCATGATTTAAAACCAAGATAAGGATGAAGAATAGCATCAATCTCTAAGGAAAAAGGACTAGCAGGAAAAGAAGGCAAAAGTCAGGATAATACTAACAAAAATAAAAGTAACAATAATAACAATAGAGACAGAGAGACAAACCAAGAAACAGACTTTAACTATAGAGAACAAATTGGTGGTTGCCAGAGGGGAGGTGGGTGAAGGGGTGGGTAAAATCGGTGAAGGGGATTAAGAGCACATTTATCATGATGAGCTCTGAGCAGTGTATAGAATTGTTGAATAACTATACTGTACACCTGAAACTTATAGAGCACTGTATGTCATCTATACCAGAATTAAAATTGAAAACAATAAAAAGTAAATAAATAAATAACAATAGTAATTATAATGATCGCACCTCAAAAGCAGATCTCTTAAATACAACTTTCTCACAGGATTTCTGGAAGGATTAAATGGGAAAATAAATGTGAAAGTACCAAGGAGAGGATATAGCATACATGGTATATGTTCATACTTTCTCCTTAGTCCATTTGTATTTACCTCCACCAAAAAGGCTAACATTCTTAGGTCTAAAAATTACTACAGAAGCTCCCCACTGATATTTTGCTTCTGGTCTGGCTCTCTTCCGACAATACATCAGCCAGAATGATCTATGTGAAAGGCAAATCCAATCATGTGATTCTCTTATTTAAATTTCAATAGCTCCCTACAGATTTCTGGATAAAGTTTAATCTCTTCAGTGAAGTACCTAAGACCCGTCATGATTTGGCTCTTGCGCAGTCTCTAGCTTTATATCCTACACTCCTCACAGCTACTGTTTGCTCTACAAAGGAATCTGGACTTCTTGTACTTCCTTGGGCACATCATACTGGTTTTTGTTTTTTTGTTTTTTTGCTTTGGAATATGTTCTTACCTCTGCCTGGAAAGTCTCTTTCTTTCTCATACCTTTCCCTACATCCATAGTATTTTACATACATTATTCTCACTTAATCTTCACAACAATTCTTAGAATTAGGTACTATTAGAATTTTCATTTACAGATAAGAAAACCAAGGAAGTTAAGTGATTTGCCTTAGATCACAGAGCTAGTAACTAGACAAGCTAGGTCTAGCTCCAAAGCCTATGTTCTTAATTTCCATGCCTTTCAAATTTGTTTCCTTTATGATCAAATTATATGAGATACTGTATATACTTTTGGGTATTTTAGAGGTTTAAAATAAGTGATGGGAAGTAGAATAATTTTCCTTTAATATTTGAGGGGCTATCATCAAAAGAGATTAATATAAGAATTAGGACTAATGAATAGAAGTTATAGAAAATCAGATTTCAAGTCAGTATAATGAATGCTCTAACAATTACAGATGTCCAACAATTGCATAGCCTGTTTTTTTTGAAAGGACAGTGCTCCTCATAACTATTCAAATAGAAATAAGATTATTATCACATATGAATCAGTTTCTTTATAAAAGGAGGGAAATTAGCTAAGATGTCCCTTTCATTCCAATACAACTATAACCCAATATTTACTCTTCACTATTCACCTCTGATTTTCTTTCCCAGTAGTAAGGATAAATCTGTACTGTATCACCAGTATTATTATTGCTGTATTCTCTTTACAATTTATTACATTAGGCCAGGGTTTCTCAACCACCACACTAACATCTTGGGCTAGATAATCTTTCTTACGTGTGTCAGGGGGAGGGAAGAATGTCTTGTGCATTGCAGGATGTTCAGCAACATCTCTGGACTCTACACTCCCTTCAGTTGTGACAATCAAAAATGTCTCCAGATATTGCCAAATTTGGGGGCCAGGAGTGCAGTGGGGGAGGGACCAAAATCATCCCTGGTTAAGAACCACTGTATTAGGACAAATCATGTCATTTCTGATTCATAGAGTTCTCACAGAAACCTAGTTTTCAGAGCTAAGTTGTACCTTTACACCAAGAAATACATGACATTGTTGGGCCAATGACAGCCATTTATATGTGTATGTATGAACACATATATGTGTTACTGTATCAAGTGCTGTGTCTGAGTTACTGGTAGCCCTTAAATTAAGTAAAAGATGTTTTTTTCCCCAATGTTATAATTTGGGAAAAATCTTACATGAGTTACTAAAGGCAGCAGCTTATCCTACTTATTTCACTTTTTCTCACAACAAAGTTTGGTTTTGAATCAGAAATAACATAATTCAGTTTAGTAATAATTGATACAACATTAATCGTTATAGTAAGGTAGTTTTTACTTCTGTTACATCGTACAAAATTTTTAGTACAATGCAATCCAAATTGGATGGAGCTTAATCAATACCAAATAGTAAAAGTTATGGTCTACATAATAAACACTATTATACTTTTAGGTAAGAAAACCTACTCCAAACTCTTTTGGGGTTTATTAGGCACCTGGATCTAAAATATTAGGCACAAAACATTTTAAATGGGAGCAGAAGAATTGCTAAGTATGAAATAAAGCCATAACTTACCAATCTGGGCCATAATCTGACAAAGAGCAATCTGTTTTAAATACGTGGATTTCCCACTCATATTAGGTCCAGTTATGATCAAAAAATTACTTCCTTCTGTAATATAGGTATTGTTGGCAATAGGTTTTTCCACAGATATTTTTTCAAGAATGGGATGCCATCCCTGTTTGATTGCTAAAGTATCAGTAAATTCTGGCCGAACTAAAAAAAAGAAAGAAAGGTTTTGTAAGATTAATATATTTATGTTTAATGGTCTGCATGGTGTATATGTGTGATTTTACTAGGGTCAATTTGGGACAAAGTATTAAGGTATTATTTTATCCTAAATCCCTACCAAGATCCCTCTAGATTGTAACTGATGCATTCTAATCACCATCACAACTTTTATTCACTTCCAGGAACCCTAGGATTTAGTTCTTTGTCATTGTCGTGAGCTCCAAAACAGTTTGTAACATTTTCAGATTTATACAGATTAAAAAGAGTCAAATAGCCATTGATAATACTTTTTTTTTTTTTGAGAGAAAGAAAGAGAGTGTGAGGTGGGGGAGGGGGAGAGGGAGAGAGAGAATCTCAAGCAGACTCCCCACTGAGTGTGGAGCCCAACAAGGGGCTCAATCTCATGACCCTAAGATTATGGTCTGAGCCGAAATCAAGAGTCGGACGCTTAACAACTGGGCCACCCAGGTACTTCAATAATACTTTTAAAAAACAATTAATTACCAGTACTACAAAACTGTACATTTACTTAATTCCCATCTTAAGCTTTATTTCAAATTTGGCATACTTAGCTTTTCAAGTGACATATGGATATAAAGTAGAACCAAATACAATTTTATGTCCAGAAACTTATAGAAATTTTGTCTAAAAAGAATACCCAGATGATAGACAAAACAGACAGAAAATATATTGCTAATTTATAGAAACAAATAATGATCAGGTCTCTATGAATACCTTGCAAGGTAAAGGGAGGAAGACAGGGCATGGGGACAAGTAAACACTAAACTCCTACATGCCTCCAGAATAAACGCATTCAAAACCATTCATTATAAAAGAGGTTTGTTAGAAAATAATTTTTAAACTACTTTCAAAGTATTTTTAACACCAAAAGTCATTATTTATAGGTTTGGAGTTTCAGGATGATCCCTCTCAAATTAAAATGGAGCAACATCAAATATCTTAATAGCTAAGAAAACTATTAAAATAGCTGATCCCTAAGGTATGGTTTTGACCCCAGAGGAGATCTAAAAGATTGAAACCTTTTGGCTTATAAAATACCAATTGAAAGAGTTAACATTTCCATAAGAAATATAAAAATAAGAAAAAAAAATCTTCATAAAATACTTATTTCCCATCAAAAAAATAAATTTACATAGTATTTGGGGAATTCTAGTGATTTTAACTAGAAATTTCAATGTTATTAATGATATTAAGTCCATAATTATTCAAACTTACTTATCACGTACTAGGTTCCATAAATTTGTATATGGGAGTGTGGTTATTACTGATAAGTTGGATAAGAAATTTCAAGAGGTTAATCTGAAGTATTCACTTCACTTAATATTAGAAAATTACTTAATATTTATATTCAAGATCTTGGGTTACAAAAGACTTGTGATACAAAAATATATGATATAATCCCTGATCTTTTTTTTTTTTTTATATAATCCCTGATCTTGAAATGCTTATATCTAAGGAGCTAGTTTAGAAAATGTTCACTTTGGAGATATCATTTCTCTCATCTGCATCTGTCACACTGTTTTGAGTGAGTCTTCAGATTTGAACTCTATCAATTTGGATCATTGTCATTTCCACCAAGGAGGAAGCTTTTCAGTCTTTCCTATTTGGGGAACCTTTAAAGTTTCTTGCAGTATTTTCTTTCTCATTTGTCAATTTCTCAGTAAACAATTTTCTGACATTTAAAACAAATTTTAAGAGTAATTTTACTTTTTCTATTTTAAGTCTTAGTCTAAGACCATAGGCAAGAGACCATATATTTCAGGTAAAAAAAATGTAAAACATTCATAATTGTTATATAAAATTGCTTGGATGGAATACAAATTTCAGTACGCAACATATTTATTCCAAAGAAAGTAACTTACCATAGTCAGAAAGAGTGCAGGCATGAGCAAATGACAGGAGCATATCCAGCATTGAGACAGTGTCAGATAGTTTATATAAGCAATGAATATGTTCATAAATCTCACTAAGCAGTTTGCACACTATCCTGAAAGTACATGTTTGGAAGTCAGGTAATGCTTTTAAAGAGGGACATACAATATAATTGTAAAATAATATCAAATTCATTGCCTAAGATAAAATAACATTCACAGTTCAATTGTATTCTACAGGTAAAGTCTATTGTTCTTTCGCCTCATTCTAGAGATTAGGAAATTGAAGTTCTTTGAGTTCAAGGAACTTGTAGCAAAAATGCATCTTCTGGTATGTTAACACCATGTTTTTGAAATGACTGCTGTTATTAAATACTAATAAAATTAATTTTCATTAATAAAATTATTTTTATAGGTCAAAGACCTCACTATGCTTCAATAGATCCCATCTGCTAATAATTTTGTTTTTTGCAAATGTTAAATTCAACACAAAAGTTAATATATTCTTTCTTTCACACACACACCTTAACAACATAATTATTGAAGCTTTTATATAGGAGAGGTATTACACTGTGACATAATAAAAAAGGTTTTCCTTGGAGCACCTGGCTGGCTCAGTTGGTAGAACATGTGACTCTTGGTCTCTGGGTTGTGAGTTCATGCCCTACATTGGGTATAGAGATTACTTAAAAATAAAATCTTAAGGGATGCCTGGGTGGCTCAGCTGGTTAAGCACCTGACTCTTGATCCTAGCTCAAGGTCTTGGTTTTTTCCCTTATGAGGAGAAATATGTCCCCCAAACCTATTATATCTCATAATCTCTGTGGTCTATGCCCTGAAATTGTTTTGAAAGTCCAACATTTGTCTTTATCATCTCAGCTCATCGATTATGAATGATTTTTTTTTTTTGCCGGCCCCCCCTTCACCCCACCCAAGAATGATCTATTTCTTATTTCCAGCTGTACTGCTACTGTTTCATGACCAGCAAAAGACTGGCATTATTGTAATGATATGCTCATATATATATATATATATATATGTGATATGATGTATACATATCACATACACACATAATGATATATGAGCATATCATTACCATAAATATATGCCATGAGAAGTTGAGGGCTTACATACCCTAAGAAAAGAATAAACTGAATGAAGCCCAAGATGTGCCAAATTCTACATCATAGTGGAATGTATACTACAGAAGTGTCAGGTATAATGATGTTTTTTTGTTTTTGTTTCTGTTTTTGTTTTTGTAATTAGATTTGCCCTGAATCTTCTGTGAGGCTGAGCAATTCCAATCACAATGACAGACTTTAAAAGTTTTCATTGTTCTTCCATGAAATGTTCTTTCTTTGCTAACATTCATAATTTTATAATTTTCTGCAGACAAAAAGCCAATTAGTGAAATTTATTATAATGCTTCAAATTGAACCAATTTAATATTCAAAATTTTAAATGTGCTTACATATAAGTCATGTGATAGATTTCTCTCAAAGATTCTTGACATCTTTCATTCATTTTAATTAAGTCTGCTGATGTAAAGGTGTAAGAACTTTTCACTTTAGATATCTGTTAGGAAATTAACAAACAAAATTAACAAAATGTCAAGATGGGTGTACACTCCTATAAAATCAAACATAAAGATTTTAAACAGCATAGATATTTAGGTTAATTAATTTTGGAGATAAAGCATCACAAATAAATTCTCAAATAATGTCTGCAAAAAAGAAAAGATCACTTCTAAAATTAAAGCACTTAAAGTTAACCTACGGTATTCTGGCACAACTATTTGAACAGGTCTTAAAATAGCTCTGTAGAAATGTCAGAGAGTACCTCTTATTACCCAGTAATATGCATGACAGATATCAGTAATTTCTGACCCATCTTAGCCCTTGTCCCATATCTGAACCTCACTCAATTTCTAATCCCATTATTATGTCTCAACCGATTTTCTTTTTCCATCCCCCATCACCTGGTAATACAGTGTGTATTTAAAAACCCTAAGTGTTAAATGGTTTTTTGTTGTTGTTGTTGAAAGCTACCCCCTGAGAGCAGAGAAAGCAAAATTAGATTGGGTTAGACTTTCCCAAACTGGTATATCATGGAGATGTTAATAAGTATTTAAGAAAAAATATTTCCCTGGTCCAAAGGTTTGGGAATATTGGATTTTAAAAAGTTAACAGATTTCTTTATTTCAGGACTTTTAAACCTTTAATAGGCAAATGTACATAGAGAACTACCTAAAACAGGAGATGGTACAGTATTTTCCAAATTCCTTGGATCAAAAATACCTTTTGGACTTTTTTTTTTTTCATTTCCTTTTTTTTTACACATACCAAGCTTCCAGAACAATGGGATGCACTGTTTGGTGTTTCTCCAAAAAAATAAAATAAAAAATTTCTACCTCACTCTTAGATTATTATAACTATTAGGTAGGTTGATAGGAGTAGGAAAGCAATATACAGAACATTTAGAAATTTGGCATGTAAAATTCAAGGAATGTCTGAAAAAATGTAAAATGTAATTCAGAAATAATAATTTCCAAACCAGAACTCTAAAATGAACCTTAATAAATTCTGAAGGAAGTTGATTATTGGGTAAGGCTGTACAATCAGTAGTCATCTGGATGAAAAATCCTCGAGCAGAGCTAAAACTTGTCCTTAAAGGAAGACTGTATTTTTCTGCGAGCTGCGATATCATTCCTAGCGACCAGAAATAAGAAAAACAAAAATAATTTTAATGAGAAAATTACTCTTTCTGTTTTAAAAAAAAATCACAGGTTTTTTTTTGTTGTTGTTATTTTATACATAAATAGGAAGGTCTAACACATATGATGGTCAAGTATCCTTTCAAGAAAAGAACTGGTAGGGGCGTCTGGGTGGCTCAGTCATTAAACGTCTGCCTTCGGCTCAGGTCATGATCCCAGGGTCCTGGGATCAAGCCCCGCTGGGATCGAGACCCGCTGGGATCGAGACCCGCTGGGATCGAGCCCTGCATCAGGTTCCCTGCTCCGCGGGAAGCCTGCTTCTCCCTCTCCCACTCCCCCTGCTTGTCTTCCCTCTCTCACTGTGTCTCTGTCAAATAAATAAAATCTTAAAAAAAAAAAAGTGGTAGTACAAAGATAGTCATTTCAATAGGTAGTTTGAAAGTAAAAAGAACTGTAAAAATTAATATAAACTAAATTAAGACTATTTTATACTCTATTAGAATATTAGTTTTCATTTGTTATTCATTCAACTTTTTTGAAATCGTATAAATTATTATAATCATTAGTTCAGAATAAGAAATTCTCTCTACAAGACATATATTTTGCAAAACAAAATATTCCAAAAAGAAAATGGGGATACAACAAATACCTAAAAAATCCAAATTTTCCCATCAACTTCAAACTTACCAGAGTTCTAAATTTTTATTTTTAACTTGATGATCATTAATGCTTTGAACATTACTTGTGAAAATCAACATCTTTATTCCTCGAAATAGTTCCTCCAACAATTTTCCTGCTTCTCTCAGTGATACCACCACTCTCAGGCTAGAAATTTCAATTAGCACCAATACCTACGTTTCCCTTTACCATGGCCATAACTACTCTATTATTAACTCATCGTTTCTTCCTTCAACCTTTGCTTTCTCTCTTCTCTTATACATTGCTATCACTCAAATGCTTTAACTTGTAATAGTTTAAAATGGTTTCCTTGTCTCCATTGCTCTACTCAAATTCATTCAACCAATCATCCTGATCAATTTCACTCCACAGAGAAAAATATCTCAGTGCCTCTGCATTCTCTTAGGGAAAAAAAATCCAAACTCCCAGCCTTCAAAGACTAAATTCTGGTCCCCAGTCTACATTTCCAATCTTACCTCTTACAAGTTCTGTCAGGGAATGCCCTATTCTATCCTAACCAATTTCCTTCTTTGCCCAGTGATGTTTCCTTAGCCTTTGTGCTTCGGTCTGTACCATTGCCAGTATGTGGAATTCCTTTCTAGGCTATTCTATCTACTAAAAACATTCCCATCCTCTATGGTTCCACACCCAATCACTCTCTGACCCCTATAACCTGCTATATTTTTCATCATATATCTTATACCCATGTGATATTATATGATCTATGTGATCGATATACACATCTATCTACCTCTCTATACCTATAAACACACACACACACATTTCTTTTTTGTCTGTCTTCCCTACTATAACATAAGCTCCATGAGGACAGGGACTTTGTCTTGTTCACTATATATTACTAGTACCCAAAACAGTGTCTATATTTACAAGAAACTCCATAAATTTGTTAAATCAATTACTGTACTTGCTCAAATGCTACCTCTTCTCGACAAATATATTTCTTCCTCTGAAATCACTTAGTACTGATAACTGCATTTTTCATCTAATTTATATGCAATATTATATGAAGGTAAACAAACATCTCCGGATCTTCAGGTAACTCTAAGTTTGAAGAAACTCTATATTTAAGTTGGGAGAAAAAAATAGACACATTATAACATTTAGAGATACTTATTTTTAAAATCATATTTTAATATATTTTTTATTATGTTATGTTAATTACCATACATTCCATCATTAGTTTTTGATATTTAATCTATTTTAAATGACAGTATGTGTTAACCTTATCTCTTTTGGTAACAAAAATTTAATTAAAAATATGCATGGCTAGTTATCAAGCAAAAAAGCACATGTTCTAAAAAGGTTTAATTTTGGGATGCCTGGGTGGCTCAGTCATTAAGCATCTGCCTTCAGCTCAGGTCATGATCCCAGAGTCCTGGGATCAAGCCCCACATCGGGTTCCCGGCTCAGTGGGAAGCCTGCTTCTCCCTCTCCCTCTCCCCTTGCTTGTGGTTCCCTCTCTCACTGTGTCTCTCTCTGTCAAATAAATAAGTAAAATCTTTTATTAAAGAAATACATAAAAAGGTTTAATCTAAAAAAAACCCAGAAAAATACACTGAAGTAATTAAATTACCTGCTATGTCATCTACAATCTCTGTATATGTTCTTCTAGCTATGTCAAGAAATTCATTTATGTTGGATCTCACTGCATAGCACTTCTGAGTCCTCATGTTCAGGCATCCTTTCATGTATCTTGCATCATCATTAATTATGGTTTTAATCTTTTCAAGTATGATTCCAAACCTAAAAAAGAACAGTATAGGCAATAAGTCAACAATTATTTTAATTTGTAATCTGACTCACAGTTAATGATATATTTTCTTAGAATATAATTTTAAATATAACAAATAACTTTTTCTTGAAATCTACTGAAAATTATTTTGAAAATAAATAATTTAGCAATATGTATATATTTTACATTACATAAATTAGAACTGTGACTATATCAATTTTAAAATATTTTGTCAATCAGGACTAGTCTCTTAAAGTAACATGAAGCCACCAAGAACAATTCTATAACTGCTAATAAAAAGATCTCCCAAATTATACCCTCTGACTGTGCCTATGAGTATAAAATATATCCCTGAAAAACTGTTATAAAAATGCTGGCTTCATGTTCATTGACTCAATCAACATTTACTTATACCATGTATGATCACTGTGTTGGGTGCACAGATCTAAAGAAGGATTAAATGTATGGTTCTTGCCTTCAGGTGGGGCCAGACAAACTAAACGCATATTGTAAAACAGTGGTAAAAAAAACCTCCCAATAATCAGTAATTAAGTACAGTGATCATGTAAAATGAAAGTCTGGTAACATCTATTTTCATAAACTTCTGTTGTATTCTGTTCTGTATTTTATTTGTAATTCTGTTTTCTTATTAACCTCAACTTGTGGCTCACAAAAGATGTGAATCCTGAATCAATAATCTAACAGTTCTTAAGCATCACAAGTTTTGTTGGTTAAAAATCAAGGTGCCATTGCTAAAAACAATATTAAAATTAAACTGTATTTAGATCTCTTATTCAATATTTATACCTACTATTTTTTGGTTTTATTAGGCCCTTTATGATTTACAAAAGAGAAATATGTGCTTTTATATTTGCAAGTCTTTCCATGGGGAATGGCTAAAAAAAGAAATATTAAAATTGTGTATGATTTCAATTTTTAATACTATTCTAATTGCCTATTAACACAAAAACTCAATGTGCTGTTACCCTATTTATGGGTATTTATAAGATGTAATGTATAATTAGGACTTTGATGAATAGTTTAAACGTTGTTAACCAGAGTCCAAGTAATTGTTCTATTGATTACAGTTAAGAGTACTTAAAATCATTTATGATCAGGGAGAAAGGAATAATTAGCAGGGTTATTTTATTCACAGTTGAGTGACAAAGACCTCTTATCTTCCAATGAACCACAGTAAGCTCTTAATAAAGGTGTGCTACAGTTCCTCAAAGCAATCTGTTAAAAAATAAAATAAAGTTAGTTAAAAATAATAAATTATAACACTATTCAAACATAGCATTTTACATTTGTTTAATACTTTACAGTTTACCCAGCGTTTTCTTGCTTCATCTTCTCATTTGTAAACTCATAAAAGATATTTTAGGTATATAGGTGAGGACAGATGGTACCTTTCCCATTTTCCAGATAAACAGCACCTGGCTAATAAAGGACATCCACTGCTTTATTATTATGACTTTAATTTTTCTTGTGTTTCAAATAATTGTTAGCATTCAACTACTTATTAGAGGTAGGTACTTAAATAGCTATCATTGTACATTTAGAGTACTCTACATATAATTCCAAAATTTGGGTTTTAAATATGCATTAAACTAAGAAAGTGCTTTGCATATTTATAAATAGAGCCATTTCTCCATTCTTATATGCAAAAATAGAGGTTTAATTTTGCTTAATGGAAACTATGAGTGGTCACTATTTCAATAAATAGAAAAAAGAGGAAAACACAGTTTACCTAACTTTTTTTAACTTAAACTTTTTTCATTTATTTAAAATCAATTAAAATATACAGTGTATTATTAGTTTCAGAGGTAGAGTTTAGTGATTCATCAGTTGCATATAACACCCAGTGCTCATTACATCAAGTGCCCTCCTTAATGCCCATCACCCAATTATTCCTTCCCCCCACACACCTCCCCTCCAGTAACCCTTGGTTTGTTTCCTATAGTTAAGAGTCTCTTATGGTTTGCTTCACTCTCCTTTTTCATCTTATTTTTCCTTCCTTTCCTCTATTTTCATCTGTTTTGTTTCTTAAATTCCACATGAGTGAAATTATATATTTGTCCTTCTCTGACTGACTTATTTCACTTAGTGTAATACCCTCTAATTCCATCCACATGGTTGCAAATGGCAAGATTTCATTCTTTTTGATGGCTGAGTAATATTCGTGTGTGTGTGTGTGTTGTGTGTGTGTGTGTGTGTGTGTGTACACACCACCTCTTTATCCATTTATCTGTCAATGGACATCTGGGTTCTTTCCATAGTTTGGCTATTGTGGACATTGCTGCTATAAACATCAGGTGCTTGGGCCCCTTTGAATCACTGTTTGTATCCTTTGGAAAAATACCTAGTGATACAATTGCTGGGTCATAGGGTAGCTCTATTTTTAACATCTCGAGGAACCTCCATACTGTTTTCGAGTGGCTGTACCAGCTTGCATTCCCACCAACAGTGTAAGAGAGTTCCCCTTTCTCTGCATTCTCACCAACATCTGTAGTTTCTTGGCTTGTTAATTTTAGCCATCCTGACTGGTGTGAGGTGGTATCTCATTGTGGTTTTGATTTGTATTTCCCTGATGCCGAGTGATGTGGAACATATTTTCATGTGTCTGTGGGCCATTCGTATGTCTTCTTTGGAGATGTCTGTTCATGTCTTCTGCCCATTTCTTGACTGGATTATTTGGGTTTTGGGTGTTGAATTTGATAAGTTCTTTATAGATCTTGGATACTAGACCTTTATCTGATATGTTATTTGCAAATATCTTCTCCCATTCTGAAGGCTGTCTTTTGGTTTTGTTGACTGTTTCCTTTGCTGTGCAAAAGCTTTTTATCTTGATGAAGTCCTAATAGTTCATTTTTGCCTTTGTTTTCCTTGCCTTTGGAGACGTGTCTAGCAAGAAGGTGCTGCAGCCGAGGTCAAAGAGACTGCTGCCTGTGTTCTCCTCTAGGATTTTGATGGATTCCTGTCTCACATGTAGGTGTTTCATCCATTTTGAGTTTATTTTTGTGTATGGTGTACGAAAATGGCCCAGTTTCATTCTTTTGCATGTGGCTGTCCAATTTTCCCAACACCATTTGTTGAAGAGACTGTCTTTTTTCCATTGGACATTCTTTCCTGCTTTGTCAAAGATTAGTTGACCATAGAGTAGAAGGCCCATTTCTAGGTTTCTATTCTGTTCCATCGATCTATGTGTCTGTTTTTGTGCCAGTTCCATACTGTCTTGATCACTACGTGATCAAGCTTTGTAATACAGCTTGAAGTCTAGAAATGTAATGCTACCAGCTTTGGTTTTCTTTTTCAACATTCCTTTGGCTATTCGGGACCTTTTTGGTTCCATACAAATTTTAGGGTTATTTGTTCCAGCTCTGTGAAAAATGTTTGATAGTATCTTGATAGGGATTACATTCAATGTGTAGATTACTTTGGGTAGCACAGATATTTTAACAATATTTGTTCTTCCAATCCATGAGCCAGGGAATGTTTTTCCATTTCTTTGTGTCTTCTTCAATTTCTTTCATAAATCTTCTATAGTTTTCAGAGTACAGATCTTTAGTTAGGCTTATTCCTAGGTATCTTATGGTTTTTGGTGCAGTTGTAAATGGGATCAGTTCCTTGATTTCTCTTTTTTCTGCCTTATTGTTAGTGTATAGAAATGCAACTAACTTCTGTGTATTGATTTTATATCCTGTGACTTTGCTGAATTCCTATATGAGTCCTAGTAATTTTTGGGTGGAGACTTCTGGGTTTTCAACATAGAGTATCATGTCATCTGCAAAGAGTGAAAGTTTGACTTCTTCTTTGACAATTTGGATGCCTTTTACTTCTTTTTGCTGTCTTAGCTGAGGCTACGACTTCCAGCGCCATGTTGAACAACAGTAATGAGAGTGGGCATCCCTGTCATGTTGCTGACCTTAGGGGAAAAGCTTTTAGTTTTTCCCCGTTGAGAATGATATTCATTCACTGTGGGTTTTTCATGTATACGGTTAACCTGACTTTTACGTGCTATTTTAGTTTGCTATGAGGCAATGGCAATAATTTTTTTTTCTTATGAGCAGAAAATATTTAAATACTAATAAAACTATAAATTCATAAAAGCATAAAGAAAAACATTTAAATTGCTTATAATTCTACCACCTTTCCAAATAAATTATCTAAATATTATGGTATATTTCCTGTCACTTCCTCAAATCAAAAAAATTTTTTTATCATTGCATATTCCTTTTCTCCCCTACTTAATACATCACAAGCATTAGAAACTTTTAATAGCATACATTTTTAATATGTCATAATATTTTACCCTCTAGAAAACAATAGTTTCTTCCCCTTATTAGAGGTCTATGCTACTTAGAATTTCTCACTAATATAAATAACGCTGCAATGACCATAACTGGGGATAAATCTTGGTAGTATTTCTTAAGACTTCTTTTGGACAGATTTCTAGTAACATAACACTGTCAAAAGATAGATGTTGTAAAACTTCCCTGTGAAGTATGTGCAATTTGTACTCCTACCAGCGGTCTCTGAGGTTGTCTCTCTCACTGTTCTCTCATTAGCAGTAAGTTGTGTCCGTTAAGGGAAAAAAAAACAAAAAACTTTGCTTCTTGTATATATAAAAAAATGCCTTTAATTTGTATTTCTTTGACTAATAGTAAGGCTGAATATTTTTGGTATTATTTACTAACCTCTTTCCATTTTGGGGTCATTTTCTATATTTCTATTGGTATTCCAACAGTGTCTTATGAAATTACAGAAGTTTTATGACAGAAATTAATATTTTATCTGTCAAATGATATAAATTTCCCTAAATTTCTTTGGCCTTTATTTTGCCTCTGACATATCAAAGTTTGAAATTTGTGTCTTATCGATTCTATCAATTTGGGGGGATGATTTATTATACCTTTTCATTCTAAGAAGATGACACTTTTTACATCTTTTGCCAAATTGCTTTCATTAAATATATTTATTAGAATGAACTCTAAAACAAAATTCTTCCAGATTTTTCATTACGTTTTTTTTTTCAATGTGGACTTTAGAGAAAAATTTTTTTCATTTTTTTATTATTATGTTAATCACCATACATTACATCATCAGTTTTTGATGCAGTGTTCCATGATTCATTGTTTGTGCATAACACCCAGTGCTCCACGCAGAATGTGCCC